CCTTTTAAAACACCCCTTTTCGAGCCCTTTCATTTTTTCTTTTTTTTTTTTTTTTTTTTAATTCCAGACTCTTCATGTCTCCTTATGCTTGTAGATCAGGAAATGTCTACCTGACCCTCCTTTTCTGATTTGTTTCACGCTTATTTCCCTGCTTTTGTTGTTGATCACAAAGTGGGATTCAAAGCATCTGGTGCCATCCAACAACATTTTAGTCTCAATACTTAGATAATATAGCTCTGCAAGCTGTATTTGCTCTTGTGGAAGAACTTGATCCCCTGCTGTCCCCCTGGACAAGTCTGTGGTCTATCAAAAGGGAATATTCTGCTTCTAGGGTTACTCTGAGATGCCGTATCATTCTGCAATACAGTTTTGAAGGAAGAGGCGGTAGCTATCATGGACAACCTGGGTTTTGAGCACTCTAAGGGTAGTGACAGTGCCACCAGGCTCCTGTCTAGCCCTCTAAGGTGATGTAACCAGCTATTGTTGAGTTTAGGGCTGACTCTATACCTGGACTCACCTTAATAGCTGCACTTCCCTCTAGCCCATGTACAGGTTGCTGCTGCGACTTCATGGACACTGGGGCCTGCTTTCAGGTTCTCTGACGGTGGGTTTTGGAACTTCTGTTTCTTTGTTGAGGGGTTGAGCCCATGTTTCGGAAAATACAGGTCTTTTTGTGACCTTTCCAAAACTCTACCACCCTGGCAAAAGGAACGCTAATGTCAACACTGATGTCAGATTCTGAACAGCACTGCAAGGGAGAAGGTTTTTGGTGCTGCTGACCTTTTGGGGCCCGACTCCTAACGTACTGTTGGTTAAGTGCTGGTCTTCAACGAATACCTGCAGAAAGCCAGTAGTTTGGACCCATTACTGGAAACAGTCTGTAGATGGTTAGCTGGTCATACAAATGATGTTATTGCTACACTTATTTAATATGTAATTATCTGCTTTGGAACCTTATCACTAGACCTGCCCTCTGCTTCTCCTACCTGCTGAGGGCAGAGGAAGAGAGTGAAACAAAATAGTCTGATCCTTCCAGGAAACACACATCTGAAGTTGATGGTCTTACAAGGATGCTGACCAGCTGTTTGTTTATTATTTCTTTGGAAATCTTTGTCTTGTTTCCAATAAAATACTTTCTGTCATAGGTTAACTCCATTTCCCTAAGACTGGGGCACTGTTTTTCATTTGTATTCTCTGTTTCCTGGCCAAATATTGCATTACAACCAGAGAAAGCTTGCAAGAATGTAGCAGCATATTGGGGTGGAAAATAAACATTCTAGGGATATTGCAAGTATTTCCAAAGCAAGCAATACACCCTCAGCAGGGTCAGAATTAAAGTTCATCTGAAAAGGAACACAAACATATGACGGGTTTGAGACAGCACAAATAAGATTTCTTATACAAAGCACCCTTCATTGTGGGGAAGAGGAGCTCCTGCCTAAAACATGACAAGAGGTGATGGCCCATATTAAGATATGTCTGCCATGGAGCACTTCTGTCTGCTTATATCAGCTGCAGCGATGTGTTCACTCAGCCACTCTGCCTTTGCCTCATTAGTCAAATATATTTAATTACGATATTAAAACCAATGAGAAATGGATGTTTCTCACACAGCTAACTACTAACGTGCTGTCAGTGGAGCACGTAATGTCCAGAAAATCAGACATTTTAAAGACAAAACGTCTCCTCCGTGAGAATTTCTACCTTAGCTGACAAAAACCCTTTCACGGATCCTATTTTGTGTGACCTATTGCCGGTTTCTCACTCAATGCTCTGATATAAAGTGATTCACCAGATCTTAAAGAATAAGATATCCATTTTGTTTATGTAAGCTGTTAAAACCAATGTAGTTACCAGGGAATCGACAAGCTAGGTTTCTATAAAGTATTTGCTAATACAGTTATCAGCCTAGCAACATCAGCTTGGAACTCAGTAGTCTTTCCACATGCTTCTCAGCGATGACTTACATTTTCTCCCTGGGGGTCAGCTATCCATCCATTTGGTGTTCCATAAATCGAGTTTCCAGAAATAAAGTCATTTTCTAAAGGTTATGCAAGATCTGCTGTAGAAAAAATGCATGTGCATGCATTGCTACCTATGAAAAACCTATTTGATTTTCCTTCAGAATTCTTTTTTTTTGTATTGCAGACGAAATTCAGAAATGCGAAAGAATTACAGAGAAGTGAAAACTTTGTGAAATTCAGTTATGGGGGAAATATTATGCTGTGTTTAAAGATGATTCTCGTAGGTGGAGTGCTGGGCCCCGGGTTTCCTGGGTGCATAGGGCAGAAGTTGCCCCCTGCTCCTTGCCAGACTCTTTTCAGTGGTTTCCAGTGACAGGACAAGGGGCCACAGGCACAAGCTGGAACACAGAAAGTTCCATTCAAATACAAGGAAAAACTTCTTTACGGTGAGGGTGACAGAGCCCTGGAACAGGCTGCCCAGGGAGGTTGTGGAGTCCCCTTCTCTGGAGTTCTTCAAGACCTGCCTGGATGCAGTCCTGAGTGATGTGCTCTGGGCAATCCTGCTTTAGCAGGAGAGTTGGACTAGATGATCTCTAGAGGTCCCTTCCAACTCTGACAATTCTGTGATTCTGTGATTCCTTTCCCCCAGGTAGGACGGTTCCTGGTACACCCACCTGGCTATGGAGATCTAAGGGCTCAGAGGCCTTGGTAAGTGTGTTTCCTATTAAATCACAAGGGGAGGCATTCATTTGTTCAGCCAAAAGATACCCAGTCAACCCCAGCAAGAAGGAAGAGAGAGCAGAGTTGGGGTTGTTCACCCTGGAGAAGAGACAGCTCTGGGGAGACCCTATTGCAGCCTTCCAGTATCTGAAGAAGGTGTGCAAGAACTCTGAAGAGGGACTTTTTACAAAGCCGTATAGTGAGAGGACAATGGGTAATGGCTTCAAACTGGAAGAGACTAGATTTTAATTAGATATCGGGAAGAAATTTTTTACTGTGAGGGTGGTGAAGCACTGGAAGAGGATGCCCAGAGAAGTTGCGGATGCCCCATCCCTGGAAGTGTTCAAGGCCAGGCTGGAAGGGGCTTTGAGCTCTAGTGGGAGGTGTCCCTGCCCATGGCAGGGGGGTTGGAACTGGATGATCTTAAAGTCCCTTCCAACCTGAACCATTCCACGATTCTGTGATTGTGAATAATGTACGGTCCCATGAAGCCCGGCTCAGACACGCTGCAAAGGCACATTACTAATTTTAAACATTTTTGTACCCCTCCTTCCCGCGGGTTGGGAACCCGAAGGGATACAGCAATTCTCCACCTGGTCACCCCAGCGGCACCAACCCGCGGGCGGGAGGGGGCGCGCTGCCGCCGGCAACCGCGGGGTGGCGCTGCGGCACCGGCAGAGGCGGCACGCGCCGGGGGGGCGGGGCGCCCCGCCTCCTCCTCCCTCTCTCCCTAACCCCATCTCCCTTCCTCCTCCTCCTCCTCCTCCTCCTGTCCCGCAGCCTCTCCCTCCTGCGCGGCTACAATCCCTTACAAGCAAGAAAAAGACAAGGGCAAAAAGGTGGTTTCTTCTTTTTACAGAAACGCGGGCAAGAGAAACCAACTGCACTTCATCTTCCAGAGGAATTACAGTACAATTAAAAAAAATATATATATATTCCTGATGTTTTCAGACTTGTTAAATCCTGTAAACTCACAGTGAACATTTTTTTTTTACTTTTATTTATTTGCAAACAGGATTTCTCCCCACCATTCTAAAAATAGATCATTAAGTTTGGATGAACATTTGAAACAGTAACTTGCAGCATCCCTGAACTGATCTGGGTAAATTCATCCTTCCTTCCACTGCTAGTATTATCTTTGAATTAAAGGGAATTAAGAAGTTTCTATCTCAGAGTTTTAATACATAAAATCAGAAAAAAAACCCTATAAATTGCAAATAAAGGTAGGAGCAAAGAATACATTAGTCTGGGTGTCTATGGTCTTCATAAATGAAAAAGAAATATTTGAAGTGTATTAGGCAGAAACTATTTACTTTCCTTTCTTAACTAACTCAAAATGTATCATAGAAATGTCTGGGCAGCATACTCTGCCAGTAACCTCAGTTAAGCAGGGGCTCCTCTCTAGTTAAAAGCCAAACTAAGGGTTCGTATCTGACTGTAAAGGAGGCTGAAAGCACCTGCCCAAGTTACAACAAAGCCAACAACCACTTATTGCCCCCCCCCCCCCCCC